GGGGGGGAAGAACGACTAAGTTCCAGCACCCCCATTATCAGGGGAATTTTCATGTCGCATTTTCCGGACCAGGCGATTCACTTCTCAACAGAGAAACACAATACATGGGACTAATCATTCTTTTGTCATAGGATTAACTTTTCCTTCTTGATAAGCATCTCTGGAATGGAAGGACAGATTTTGCCATCCTCTGCCCTATGTCATCGGGTCTCGTGATAGGCAGAAAATGTTAGATTTCACAGTTGTTCAATTTTCAGATAATGTGACCTTGATGAATATTAGACAAAAGCAACTGGAATTTTGGGTGCATTTTGAAAGGGGGTATGCTGATAAGCCTTCTCATTTCCATCAGAGAACTGAGATGATCCCATCTGTTTTGGGGAGGGGGCAGTATGTGTGATGTATTATTTTTTTTTTCCACGTTTTAAAGTTCCATAGAGAAATCACTGGACATTTTCTGCGTGGTGGCATGGAAGGGTTTTCAAATCCAAATAATGCTGGGAATATTTAAGATCATGTTTATTTGGCAAAGGAGAGAGATCTGGGAATGATCCGAACAGTGCCTGGCAACCATTTCCCTGGCATGGATCTGTGCTGCTTGGATGGGCTGAGGCTGGTCAAATCCCTGCACCCAGCAGCTGCCGGTTAAGGCACTTTTTGGGATCATGCTCTGTATGATGTTTATTAAAAGGGCAGCTACATTTAAAGGGACATAACCACTAGAGAAATTAGTAAAGCTCAGGATACAGAGCCATATGGCTTATATTTAAAGTCAGGTATGCTTTGCAAAGTAGGAAGGACCTTCCTGGATCACAGCAGATCCGTGACTAAGTCTTATTGCTTCTTAAATTCATCTCCTTGACCTCGGTTCCCCTCCCACAGGCCCACATCACATATATTTGCATGGCTCAGGCATGCCTTGGTTTTCTCCTTGCTCTTGGCATCTTCCTACTCTAACTCAGCCTGCAGATTCCTACCTAATACACTGAAAAATGTAGTTTTTACATATACCATTTAATTTAATTCACGAGAACCGTCTTCAGCTCTCCTTTGCCTTGTAGTTCAAATGTAAACACTTCAGCCTACTGCCATTTGATGACTCTAACTTCCATTCACAGACCCCCTTGGCTGTTCCCCTCCATTTCCATTAAATCTGCCTCCCACTCCCCACATGATGAGGCTTGCATGTTCCTGACCTTGAGTTTTTGCTCCTAGCATTCTCCATAGCTAAACAGATTGCTTGCCTCTTCCTAAAACAAACAAACAAGCAAAAAAAAAAAAAAAAAAAAAAAAACCACAAAAAACCAAAAACCATTTCCCAAAACTTTTTCTTTAATTAGATAAGTGCTCTTTGTAATGATACAACATTTCTCTTGGAATTGCTAAGATCTTGAAGATTCTAGAATCAACTCATTGACTGAGGACTTTATTGTGCAAGGTACACTGCTAGGAACTTGTGCATGCACTCTTTATTTGAGGTCCTCAACAGCCCTTTGAGGTAGATGCTGTCATCTTCAGGGTACAGGTGAGGAAACTGAGGCTCAGACAGCTTCATAAGCTTGCCCGGACCCATCCAGCGAAGGAGAGGCAGAGCTGAAAATAAGACACAATTTTTCCTTCCTCATCTGATGTTCTTTCCTTCCCGTTTCCAGTGTGCCACAACTATCTATGCGGTTACTATGGTTGTTTTTACGGGTTGGTTGCTTATTTTGTTGCCTTTTTTTGTTGTTGTTGTTCTATTGTTCTAATTTAGATAGACAAGATATGCTTCATTCTTTTGATGTTTTCCAGTGCTCACTACAGGGCTCTGGAAATAGAAAGTAGGCATGAAAGTTGGCCAATACATTTATTTGCCAAAACCTACAGATCTTTGTTTTTGAGACACTCTGGAGTTATTTCCGGAAGAAATTTCAGTAAGAGTCCCATTGACCCGTATGCGTGGGAGCAAATGTCTGGCGTGTAGAAGCTGTCAGCCTAGCTGGTAATCAAGTCACCATCCAAAACCAGGTCAGCCAGTTCCTCAGCAACATCCTGCCACCCCCTGAAGCTTTGTGACCTGGCATTGTGGGAATTGAAACTTTGTGACCTGGCATTGCGGGAATTTGCTGTGTATAGATCATCTGAAGTTCTTGGCAATTCCTCCCTCTGGTTGCCCTGGGGATTTTTTGTGCTCATTTTATAATACTAATTAAGAAGTTTAGCAGTCATTACTATTAATATCACTCAGATGCCAGGTGAGTGTGAAATGCCCTTCTGAAGTGAACATCACGGTCCTTCTGGCTTCACAGGTGGCTGAGTCTGTAAGCTGTTGGTCATAGCATGAATGTGAAAAAGTCCAACCCTGGGCTGGAGCTGGCTAGTTAGCTGTTGGCTCTGGGTGTGGGCACATGTCCGGTGTGAATCAGCACATGAAACAGCAAGTCAGTATTTCTGTACCGTTACTCTTGTCAACCCTTACTTATTAAAACCTTCTACATGCACGGATGGGAGAAACTTACATATCACCGTCCCTAGTTGAAAAATTAGGCAATGAAAACTCTAAATGGTAAGACAAGGAAGTCAGAGCAGGATCAAAATCCGGGATATGAGGCTTCCAGTATCTTTCTCTTTCTTTAGAGCAAGAGAAACCATTGAGGGGTTAAACGAGAGGGAGAATCTCCCATTAGGCAAGCGTGACTTCTGGATGCATCAGGCTGAGAGCAGATGACAGCTACCTGCTGAACGGCTGACTTGGCAGAGTGCCAGAGTGGAGAGGTCAAGAGCATGGAGTCCGGGGCAAGACCTGTTGGGTCTGAGTCTCAGTTCGACACTTCCTAGCTGTGTGATCTTGGAAGATGACTTAGCCTCAATGTGTTGTGCTTTGTTCACCCATAAATAGCAGATAAGAATGATGCTTACCTCACAAGGCTGTTACGAGCATTAAATAAGTTACTATATATTAACTATTATGTATATAACTATTATAACTATATATAGTAGTACTATATATAGTAGATATTTATATAAGTACTATATACTATATATATAGCTATAGTTATGATAGTTACATATATATGTGTGTGTGTATATATATATACATACATATATA